TGTCAACAAGGACACGTTGTACTTCACAGTTATTGATCATGACAGAAGTGACCAGGGGGTCATTGTGGGGTGTAACAACTGTGTCGAGGTCAGCGGAGGTGAAAGTAATGGGTTGATTCTTCCATTCAGCAACGTCAAGCTTCCGCTTCTGAGCTCGGTTTTGATGCTTAACCTCTCTGACATACAGCTTTCGCTGTTTAGAACTCAGTCCTCTTGCTTCAAGGCCTCCTGTAATCATATGTATGATTCTAGCCGGTGGTGGGAGCGGAGGTGGGGTTTGTTGATATCCCACACCTTGCCTATTTGGGGGATTGCAGGCTCCTTGAGGCTGCGGCCTCTGCTCTCTGACAAATCGCGGCTGTTCAGCTCTCTGCACATACTCATTTAGCATTCCCTTCTGTGCTAAACTTTCCAGTTCAAACTTCAAGCTGTTGCACTGCTCTGTAGTATGGCCATGGTCCTGGTGAAAATCACAATATCTGGTGTGGTCACGACTAGCAGCAGCAGTTCGCATTGGGTCAGGACGTCTCAAGTCCATTTTGTTCTTTATCTGCATAAAAATTTGTGACCTCGGCAGATTAAAGGGAGTCCAATTAACTGGAGGTTTACCTGCAGACTGTGGCTGGGGTGTTGAGTTCGGCCTTCCGAATCTCGGTGGAGAGGTCAACATCGGATCTCGGTTCTGTGCCATCCTCATCCTTTTCCGGCTCGGATTGTCGTCTCTCCATTCTGGGTTCTGGTTCTTAGACGGGGTGGGGTTTTGTGCCAGGGCATACTCCTCAGCGGTTATAAACTTGAGAGATCGATCATTCACCTCGCTAAAGGTGATAGCAGCATGTTTGATCAAACTGTCTCTAAACCTGTCATGCTTGAGACCAGCGATCACAGCGGCTATTCCCACAGCTTGATCAAAAGAACTAACCTCCAAAACTGCATCATTAAACCTGCTCATATAGTTCTTCAAAGATTCTCCATCCCTCTGTTTAACTCTCAGCAACTCAGAAGTAGTTTTCCTAATCAGCCTTCTACTGGAAAACTTAGTGGCAAAAGCAGATGCCATTTCGGTATACGAGCTAATTGACCTCGGAGGTAAACTGTAATACCAGGTTCGGGCATTACCTCGGAGAGTAGAGGGGAAGATCTTGCACATCAACGCGTCAGAGGCGTTCTGAGCTTGCATGCAGGAGTAAAAAGCATGCAGGTGATCATCGGGATCCTTCGTCCCGTCATAAGTCTCCAGTTGCGGTATTTTGAAGCCAGTAGGATAGGGTTCCAGCGTGATGTTGGTATTCAAGGGGTGAGGTATGGAATTAGCATCATGGTGCGGGGGTGGGGCACCTCGGTGTTCAGCTACCAGCTTTTCTAGGCTATCAAGGCGACGGGTAACATCATCAGGGATGGGTTGTTGAGCGGGTGCTATGTGGGATTGATCTTGGGATTCACTAACAGCGGGAGCAGGTTGAACCGGTTGGGGGTTTTGTGGTGGAGCTGGGGGTTGTTGAGCAGGATTCAGTAAATTAATGAGGGGATCACCAGGGTTATTTCTAGCTAGAAGTTGAGCCAGTATCAGCTGAAAAATACCAAACTGTTGCTGCATGGCAGCAAGCTGAGCTGTCACCACATCTTGGTTGGCAGTGGAAGTTGAGTTGTGAGCTGAAATATGAGGTTGATTTTCATCTCCTCCTTCTGCATGATCAACAGGAGGGAACATAACTGGGATGTGAGGTGGAAGGTGAGGTGGAAGCTGAGGTGGAATTTGAGGTGGGATCAGGGATGGGAGGCTGTTGGGGGGTTGACCTTGGCCATGAGGCAGAGATGAATTACCAGCTCGGACTGATCGAGTGTGAACCAT